TATTTATTATAATAGGTAATAAAATATAAATTTATTTATTTATAAAGTATTGTTATATAATAATATCATATATACCAATAATATAATATTAAAAATTATATAAATATTTTTTATAATAGCAAATGGTTTGAGTGAAAACGAAATTTTAAATTTACTTGGTGACGGAACCGTATCTGATCTTGATGAGTCAGATGAAGAAATAATTGAAAACWTTCAGAATGAAGAACTAAATAATTTACTTGGACAGTTTGATGAGTTAGAAGATTTTATTATAGATCATGATTCCGTTTTGCCAGAACAATTAGAATTTAATTTACAATCACCAGAACCTAATATTGCTAATGTTACACCCGAACCATTTGTCATATCTGATAAAAATCAAATTAAATGGCAGRCAAGCCCTATTAAACAATCTAACATTAGCTTAGATGATTTCGAAGACATGATATATCCTTCTGAAATGCCTAGTGTATTAGATTATTTCACAGAMTATCTCGATGACACAGATTTTTCAAATATGGCTTATTTTACTAATTTATATTCTGTTCAGAAACATCAAAGTAGATTTAAACCAACTGATTCATCTGAAATAAAAACATTTATTGGTATACACATTATAATTGGTTGTCTCAAATACCCTCGAATTCGACTGTACTGGGGAGATTCTTACCAAGTCAAACTCGTTAGGGATAGTATGGCGCGAAACCGATTTTTTTTATTACGATMAAATTTCCATTTAATTSACAATAGTAATATTCCACGCGATAACACAGACAAATTTATTAAAGCTCGACCTATTTATGACGCGATTAACAATAAAATTAAGTCAATACACAAAGAAAGAAATTTGAGTGTTGATGAACAGATGATACCGTTCAAAGGTCATTTACAAATGAAACAGTATGTCAAAGGAAAACCATGTCCTTGGGGCATAAAAGCATTTCTTCTTTGTGGTTCTAGTGGAATGGTTTATAATATTCTTTTGTATCAAGGTAATACGACA